ATGGTTGAAGCTGCACATAGGATGCCTGCCAATAGATATGGAAGTATGTGAGGCCCTGGGCTGAAAAGTCTAGGGTGGAGGATACTTGCTGGTTGTAGTGCCACATATGGTGTTTGAACGATTGAGTTTTGTTCAGTCAAAAGGATTCGGAACTGATCTGGCTAATTTGACCTGGAACACAAAAAATTTCCCAAAATATGAAAAAAAAAGAAAAATAAAAAAACCCACAGTGCTCCCCACATACCCTTGTGCTATCCCATGGACCCCACCTTTGGCACAGTCATAGCCCCCCCCAGTTATTCTAGCACCAACATCTACTAGCAGGAGTTGCCCAAGGGGAGAGCAGGGAGGAGCTGGCTGTGAGGGGAGTTCTCATCTCTAGTCTCTGCCTGGGGTGGCTGTAAGGAGAGTGCTGCCCCTGTTCCGAGGAGGAATGGGAGCTAAGAGGAGATCTAGCCAGGTTGCCTGGCATGAAGACAACATTTGTTTCTCCAAAGCTCATCACATTAAGATTCCCAAAGCCTGGTTCTGTAGCTGAGCCTGTTGTGAGGGAGTTTGCACTAGTGTCATCTCTCTGCCTGCAGCTGCCATTTTAATGAATTCTGAGTGCTGGGTAACCCCAGGAGTTATGTGAGAGTGGGAGAGAGAAATATCACTTTTATTGAAATGCTTAAATGGAAGCCCTCCAGCTTTCAGAGCGTGAGACAAAGCTCTAGAGAGAGACAGGATATGAGCTATTTTCAGCCACAAGTTGGTGAGAGACCCATGGTGTATATGCAGGGGGGCAGAAAGGGTTAGATTGACATGACACATGTGTGGGACAACTCTGGCCCCTTACCAAAAGTGGAATCAAATGCCTAATCATAGGCAGAACAGCAGCTGAGAGTCCAGCAGAGCAGGGAAGGCTGGGCTTACCAGTCTGAACTGTCTTCTCGTGCCTTTGAATGTGAGGGGGAAAGTGAGGAGAGGGGTGGACTCAAGAGGAGGTAGATGCCATTTGTGAAGATGGAAGTTAGAGCTGCCATCCCTTAACCTTTGGGATTTTTTTGGAAGAGGTGAAGAATTTACCAGAGAAGGAAAGGAACCAGAAAGGAGCTGAAGTCATGGGAGCTGAAGAAGAAGTGCTTGTCACTCTGTCTGGAGGGGCCCCCTGGGGCTTCCGCCTACAGGGTGGCTCCGAGCAGAAAAGACCCCTTCAGGTGTCAAAGGTAGGACTGCAGGTGTTAACGGTCCAGAGCAATATTATTCAGTTGATTCCAGATATCCCTGGAGGGTCAGGCATCTTCTACTGTCAAGAACATTCTAATTTCAGGAATCTGAAAGAAGAGCATAGGTGGGATGGTCTGACAGTGCCCTGGGTGGGATGAGGGTTCTGAAATGCATGGTATTGAGATGAAAATAGACAGAAAAGTGGTAGACAACGATGTATGCTCTCTAATTTGTGTAAATCACCGCTCTGCAGCAGAACCTCCATAATCCAGATACTGTGTAAATTACACACCTTTCTCATCTTGCCAGCAAAGATATAACAGTGGTGACAGGGTAGGAGTGAGAGTTCATATTACTCAGGCTTCCTTATTTGTATAAAAACAGGCAGCAGCATATTATGGAATAATTAAAAGGAGTGAGAGAGTTTTGAAGCTGTTTAGCTGCGCTTGTCTATTGAATTGAAAAACTCCAGTTTTCACAATAGGTACAAATTACTGAAAGTCTCTAGTATTGGCAAAGGCTGTATAATTAAGTTGAATGTCTCAGTTGCTGTAAGCAATAGGCATTACTTTAGTTTCTAGTCACCAGAGGATGTTTGGATTG